CAGACTCAGTCTCGAGTCGGCGTGCCCTGGTGCGCACTGAGGAGGAAGAGAACGCAATGAATGAAGACAAAACTGAGACCGGTAGCACTGTATCACAGGCTGAGGTGGAAGCCGACGAGACTGCGGAAGATGAGCTTGGTATGTGCAGAAGCCTTGATGTGAACATTACATTAATTGAGTACCAAACAGCACACTTAATGAAGGACTGGAACTCACCAGTCTATGTGTTCTTCAATCCGACACCACAGATTACCGAACTTGATGGGCGCCATGCCCATAACTTCAAGTGCCAAGCTAGGAATTGCAAGACCAAAGTGCGACAATACCTTGACAAAGGTGATGCACGCTCCACTGGTAACATGCGGAAGCATGTGCATTCGTGCTGGGGCGATGAAGTGTTGAAAGCTGCGGATGAGGCCAATGATGCCAACGAGGTGCGCAAAAATATAGTTGGTAGTTTCCTGCGAAATGGATCGATCACTGTGTCATTCAAGCGTAAGGGTAAAGGAAAAGTTACATACTCGCACCGTCAACATACACGTGCAGAAACACGGTACAAACAAAGTCTTATCTGAGTCTTGGACTGAAACATCTGCCTTCAGGGCTGAAATAGTGAGCTGGGTGTCCGAGAGCCTGCGTCCATTCGATATCGTCAAGGACCGTGCATTTCAGTCACTGATGAAGACAGGGAGACTGGAATATTACATACCTTCTGCCTCCACTGTTTTGTGTGATGTGCAACAAGTATTTGTGCGAACTTGACAGTGTGTTGCTACAATGTTACAGGTAAGTATTTATCATTAATAAAAAAACAAATATTCAAAACACACCAGGAATATGACGGTAAAATAAACTTTACTACTGATGGTTGGTCGCATTTTCAGCGCACTTCGAGCACGAGGGGGAACCACTAAGCATCCCATTAGACATTGTTGAAGTGGGGAAGGTAAAAAAAACTCACCTATATAGATATATACAAGCTGAGAGCTTCATAGTCGCATACCAGCGAGGAGCTTGTGGAGGCGTTTGCAAAAGTGCTAGAAGAATTTGGTATATCAGAAAAGGTATTGATCCGAAAAAAAAATTGAACAAACTTACATGCAACTAAAACCACATTGCACAGATCCTGAGCGTCACTTGTGATAATGCATCCAACAATGATGCCATGATTCATGAACTGAGCGGTCAGGTACTGGAATTCGGTGGACCAACCACTCACACTAGGTGTTTCCTGCACACTGTGAACCTGGTGGCCAAATCATAGATCTGGGAATTTGATGTGAAGAAAGGAGAGGCCGACCAAGCATTGGCGCATAGTACTGACAGTACTGACATAGAGCTGGAAGAACTTAGCGCAGATATGGAAGAGGACACAGGGACGACATACGAGGTAGATAATGATGACGGCTTTGTTGACGAGGTCGAGTTGTTGGACAAGAAAGAGCAGACTGCACTAAACAAAGAGATAAGACCAGTCAAATTAGCACTTGTCAAAGTAAGTGTGTGCAACAAAAGAGGACTCACTATTGAACACAATTGCTCCAGGTGTGCAAGCTCGCATACAAGACCATACATTCAACTACTATCATCCTTCCCGCATGGCATGGCATCCTCAAGGACTTGTTGGAACCCCAAACCCTCATGCCACGCGATGTGGCCACACGGTGGAATTTGATGTTTGATATGTTGGATTACGCACTTAAACATCGTGAGGCTGTAGATACCGTTATGCAACAGCGAGACCTTGGTTTACAGAAGTATGAGTTGGAGGATAATGAGTGGGAAATACTACAGCAATTGTGTGATATACTAAAGGTTTGCACTCTTTGTTTGACGCTTTGGCGCATATGCTTATGTTATATTGTTTGCCCTTGTTAGATTCTGAAGGATGCCACGCTTTACTTCTCACATCCAACACCTAACCTTGCGACAGTGATACCAGCAATGGATCACGTCGACAAGATGCTCATGTCCTATTCGTGCAACAAGAAATATCTGCCTTCAATTCGTTCGGCAGTTCGGCTCGCAAAAAAGACACTCAACCAGTACTATCAGCTCACAGACAGGTCTCACACATATCGGATCTCCATGGGTAAGTTCTATTCAATCTAGGTTTTTTCTAGTTTCTACTGACGGTTAATATTATTATACTAGTGTTACATCCCCAACACAAGCTATTATACTTCATAATCCAAACTGTGGAGCAACTTGTGCGCGAGGAATTCAAATGTTCATACCTGTCCCTTGATGCCAACTCTGATTTGGGGTGTGAGGCAGATGTCTTGGAGTCAAATGATAATATATTGATGGTATTTTGCTTTTTTTGCTTTTTACTTAGTGTTTGTACTGACTCAATCTTAGAGCAACAACATTTTTGACAACCTCCCTGCACTTGCAGTCCCCAAACCTACTAACTCGGGCTCCGAACTCAATTGTTACCTTAGTATGGATGTGGAACATGTCACCAACCCTATCGCTTGGTGGCAAGAACATCGCAAATCATTCCCCCACCTGTCACACATGGCCATTGATTATCTAACTATCCCTGGTATGTGGCATTATTATGTTTAATGCCTTGTAAGTTACATTGCTTATAGCTACTTCTGTAGATGTTGAACGTCTCTTCAGCTTTGGGCATCTTGTCCTGTCACATGTCAGAAATTGTTTATCGGCACAGTCGACACGTGCGCTGCTTTGTGTCGGCTTATGGAACGAGTTAGGCCTGGTCAGATCTGAGGATATCATTCACATGTCTAAGCTCCCAGATGTTGTTGGCAAAGAGGAAGCAATGAATGAGGGTTGGGACAGAGTCCAAGTAGATTAGTATTACATTTGTTGTTACAATTCATTACAATGCTCTTTGTAGTGACCTGTTACGACTGGGATAGTTCTGCTGTTGCCGGTCAAGATAGACCTGTCGGGCGAACAGTTCGTCGGCCTTCCTAATACAAGGAAGGTTTCTGGTGGTTCCTACTGCACGAGCCGCGGCTTCTATGCAGGATCAGCGGTGAGTGGTTTTAGCACTTCTACCGCAATCAAGGGTTTCAGGCTAAGACAGTGAGTGACTGCCTTAGAATCAGAGTTCAGGCTACTAAGGGTGGAGACCTTAGTAGATCAGGTTTCAAGGGGAAAACCCAGTAGATTAAGTTAAGGAATACATCTATGGTACATGGGGTTTATATAGGTAAAAGGAAGCGGCGTAGCCGCGACAAGAAAGGTAACAAAGATAGGAAAAGAGTACAACCTATCAAGATAGCAAAGATAGGTGAAACCGCCATGCGGCGCAAGATAGTATCTATGTTACAATCAAGATAGAAGAGAAGTGCAGACAGCCCGCTTGATAAGAGAATAGCCGAGTCTAGATGAGTCTAGAGTCGGCGGCATGGTTACAGGAAAAGAAAAATGAAATAGGAGTAAATGTTATTGTAACACGGGTGGGCTGATGTAAAGGTACATTGTATAGCCAGGTGGGCCGACATACAAGAATAATTTTGTAGATGGGTGGGCTGAGAAAGTGGTGGAATATTTATTATATAGACGGGTGGGCCAAGCGAGTGGTAAAACATTTTTTATATCGACGAGTGGGCTGAGAGTGCAGGAAATTATTTATGATATAGACTGGTGGGCCGAGGTAGGGAGATATTGTGTAGACATATAGGCCAAGGTATTGGTTTACTATATAGATATATAAAGTACTTGTCTGACATGCACAGATTGCCGAGTCCCAACACCCGAAAATTGAATCCCATGGTACAACATCCATTTTTCAACGAGAAATCACTGTCTCAAATTCCGGATGCCCGATGACCGGAAGCTCCAGACTGGACACTAGATACTTGCAGGAATGTGTGAAATATTGATGTCCTGAGACATATCACTGAGTGCCGAGAGCCAAACCACAAAACTGAAAGTGTTACCACTGACTGATTGAATCACCTAGTGCCGAGTGCCGAAGCCTGAAACACGAGCCGCAAAACCCGAGGCTGGAAGCGATACACAATATGGAATGTCTTATGAAATTCACCGTGTGCCAATCCTAAAACCCTGGAATTCATCATTGACTTATTGATTCACCGAGTGCCAAGACCTGAGTGCCAAGTGCCAAGTGCCAAGTGCCAAGTGCCAAGTGCCAAGTGCCAAGTGCCAAGTGCCAAGTGCCAAGTGCCAAGTGCCAAGTGCCGAGGCCTGAAACCTGCCACTCAAAACGAGTGGAAGACTAAATGTTGCAAAATTGTTGACATGAAAGTGTAACTCCCAGAACACCAAAATCCAAAACTCAATGGTTGAATCACTGAGTACCGAGTACCAAGTGCTGAGTGCCGAGTGCTGATGCCCAAAACCCGAGGCTCAAAACACAACACTGGACACAATACACCATATGGTATTTCTTACAAATTTCACAAGGTCCCATTGCAAAACCACGAAAATTTTCAGTGACTTATCGATTCACCGAGTGCCAAGACCCTTCTACGGGTTTTCTGGGTTTCGGGCTCAGGGATCGGAAAATGACTTCCAGCAAACTGTTGAAGACAATCTAATATTTCCATGTTAACAATTTTGCAAAATGTGCGTTTCCACTCATTTCGTGTTTCGGACTTCGAGCCTCGGCACTTGGCATTTGGGTCTCGGGTCTTGGCACTCGGTGAATCGATAAGTCACTGAAAATTTTCGTGGTTTTGCAATGGGACCTCTGTGAAATTTGTAAGAAATACCATATGGTGTATTGTGTCCAGTGTTGTGTTTTGAGCCTCGGGTTTCGGGCATCAGCACTCGGCACTCGGCACTTGGTACTCGGTACTCAGTGATTCAACCATTGAGTTTTGGATTTTGGTGTTCTGGGAGTTACACTTTCATGTCAACAATTTGCAACATTTAGTCTTCCACTCGTTTTGAGTGGCAGGATTCAGGCCTCAGGTCTCAGCACTCAGTGAATATATAAGTCACTGATAACAAAGGTAACATTGATTGAAAACATTGCATATACATCTATGACTATTTAATTATGTAGTCATGTCAACATCCTCACCAGAAGGTTCACCCTTCACTTGAACATCCATCTCTTCAACTGAATCATACTCTGGAAAAAGATTGCCTGGATCATCCGGTTTCACAATTTCGCTGGGCATCTGTGAAACCTCAGGATGAATTTGGTTGAGCTCAAATATGAGTCCGTTGATGGCAGACTCATCCTGGAGGTTGGGGGGGTTGGGCTCCATCCCTTCCATAGACAGGTCAATGAGAGGAGGAAGTGCGGATGCAGGGGTTGACATGGCCGGAAGGACAGGTTGATGAAGCAAAAATGATGTTACATCACCTTGGGCGTCTGGAAGTGGAAATTTTGGGTGCCAGAGGATGATTTCACGTCGAAGGCCTTCATGAAGGCATTGCAGGGTGTCAATCTTAGCATCCTGCTCAACAACATGCTCCTCAAGAGCGGCGATTCGAGCTGCACCCTCCCGAATCGCCATTGCCATGGCATGCAAATCCGGCATTGGCACATCAAGTGCCAAACAAGGAACTCCGGAAGTCGAAGATGGGACTGCTACAGGTGGAACATTATGTCAGATGGACATAGAAAATTTGGGTGACTTACAAGCTGGTGCAGGTGTAGGTTCCTTGGCAGCAGTGACAGTCTTGCTGTGACCGCGTGTTTGCGCCTTTGGTGTTTGGGCACCAGATGGACCAGGAGTGACGGAAGAGACCTGAGATTGACTCCGTGTCCGGCTGGTGGTTTGCGAGGCAGCCAGAGCTTTGGAGGGAGCTTTGGAAGGGGTCCTGGATCTGGTCCTCCTGGTGGTCTGGGTGATGGATTGACCTCGAACAAGTTTCGGCAGGGTTCCCATACTCACGGAGATGCACTTGATCTTCTTGGTGGTGTAGTAGATGCAGGACATGCACGGGGCACCGGTCCTCTTGTCAAACCGAGTTGCGCAGGGCCATTCCATCTTGTGGCAAGCCTGGCAAGGGTTGTTCTGTGCGATCTGTCAGTTCATAGACACACCAAGTCTCAATGGTGTACTTATGGGTCTGGGAATGAGTATATCACATGCATTGATGACTGGGGGTGCCTCTACTGGAGGTTCGGGAGTTGCCTGAGGGGGCTCGATGACCTCCAGACATTTGCCTGCAATTGCCTAGCACATTGTAAGGACTCACCCAAGTGCCGGATGCAAAAGTGTGACTTACCATAGCAGGCCCGAAGGGTTTCTTCTTTGGGCTCCAGGATGACCGAGGTGATCCAGACGTCCTTGCAACATCTGGGGAGAGCTGGGGGAGGACGACCTCCGGAACCCCATGTGAAATCGGCTACAAAATGAGTAAGACAATGAAACAATGAACCAGAGGACATACCTGAGTGACCGAGTCCTCCTCATCTTCCGACTCAACAAACACCTTGAATTTGGCACGGCCGGTGGTCTTCACCCACTTCCGAGTCTTCATAGTGGACTTCAGGGGTTGGGAGGGAAGTGCTGGAATCATTGGAGACTTCCTCTTCTGAGTCCCTTCCAATTCCGGTTCCGGGTCAGGGGCAACTGCCTTACCTTTTCCCTTCTCCCGGGACTTAGAGGCAGGGTTGGTAGAAGGCCCGGCAATGACAGGTGAGGGTGAAAGATCCACAGGAATTAGACATACTGAAGGACCGGACACGACTGGGAGATTGAAGGTGTGATCACCTAACTCCTCCCAGGCAAGGACCTTGCTGTGCCATGGGTGCGTTAACAAACAGGTATCGTCATACCTGATGCTGTGCCAGTTGGGCCAGACCTGAGGAGTCATGCCCCAAACACGAATTAACTCCCTCGAGCACGAACACATGAGACCCAGAAGGTAGGGACCACTCCCATATTGCCGAACCGCATCAGCCTACCCAGATGATGAAAAAAATGAAGGGGTGAGAATATGGCAATGCTACATACCACGAGTAAACTGACCTGGGTTGTCAGAGAAAAGTGGCTGTGGCCCAGAGGAAGCTGCCGAGCGCCGGTGATGATGGCCATGATCTTGGCAGTGATTTCCTTGAGGCTGGTCAAAGAGGTGTTAACTGGAGTAGACATGGTATTTCAATTGAAAGTGTTGAAAGTGTTGAGATCAGGTAGAAATCAAGTTGTATTCAGGTTGAAATCAGTTATCACAAGGATGATGTTTCAGTAAAAACAAGATCAGTGATTAACAATGTAAAATTTCATTGATTGTTTGTCCTTGTTTGGTTGTGGTTCAACTTTCAGCAATTGCTGGCGCCTTGTGTTCAACTTCGAAGTTATCAATAATCAGTGAATCAGTTGATCAGTTCCTCACAGAACATGAACTCCCCTGCTATAGTTAGATTCAATGACCCTCCGGTCACTGAATATAACTCAATGGATGTGGATGAATCAACCGTGTCCCAGATGTCAACAGGTATGTTCAACATCCATCATACCTTATCAATTTACCGGACATCCTCAGATCAATTATATCTTAGGCTGGCTGATGACCCAGAATCATGTTCTGTGTTATCCAATGGTCCGGAGGTCTTTTCTTCAATTTCCGGTGAGTTTATCAATTGATATGATGACCATGTAATCATCCACGGTCACTCAAATCTCACAGATCATTCACCTCCGGCTCAATGTGATCAACCAGGCCTCCCGGTTCACCCGGACCTATACCTCAGGCCTGAGGATGACCTGATGGCTGGGATGCACAGTGAGTATTATTTAAATCATCTAACAATGCATGTTGACACGAAAATCTTGCAGATCAGTCACTTCCGGCCCAACCTGATATGCCGGGTCTAGCCATCCACCCAGATCTCTACCTCAGGCCTGATGAAGATATTATGACTGAGATCCTGGGTATGTTCATCAATTGAAATAAAAAGTCTGGCCATCCCTGGTTACTAAAGCCTGACAGATCCATCACCTCCGGCCCAACCTTATCACCCAGATGTACCCATCCACCCTGACCTGTACCTCGGGCCTGATGAAGATTTTATGCCAGAATTCTACGGTCTGTCAATCAAAACATCTCACCATCCCTGTTCACTAAACCCTTACAGATAAATCTCTTCCGGCCCAACCTGATCAACCGGGTTCCCCCATTCACCCAGACATGTACTTAGGCCCTGAAGATGATCTGATCAACTATGAGGTGAAGCAGGAGCGTGCTAATTCAGATAGTGAGGTCTCAGGTACACCAGTAGTATCCAGGGCATGTAGGTTTTTCCCTACCATCCAGGTTTCCTTACTTAATTCATCTCCCAAGTGATGGCAAAATCTCCTGAACGTGATTTGCCACACCCGGATGTCACTTATGAAGAATTGCTTGCCATGGTCCAGGATCTCTGGCCATTCGAGTCTTACAATCACACGGGCAGTGAGTATCTGATATAATCATTTATCTTTCTGCTAATTTGTCTCTTAGTTCAATCCATTCAAGATTGGGTCCGGGATTACAAACAGCGACATGGACATATTCCTGACCCATCCATCCAACAACTACTCGAGGCTGAGAGACCATTCTGAACTGCCTGGGCAGAAACATCTGACAAACTCAGAAGAGCTGATGAAGACCTCCGGAGGCTGCAAAGAGCTGAACGTTTGACTTCCGAAATGCTCAAGGTATTAGATTCCCTCATTCTTAGGTTTGAAGATCAAATTCAAATGTAAATTACACAATTTCTGTTAGTAGACAAATTACCTGTGAACTTTTGAATGTTTATGAACCCACTCATGTCATGTAAACTACTTAATTATGGATGTATGGAACTCCCATTTCCGATTCATTCACTATCAGAGGACTACTGAGGCCTGAGTATCGATCACCGGGTCCATGTTTCAAGTCCAGCGCACCAATAACCTACTTCCCATTGCATGACATGGATATGTACATAAGGGGAGACAGTGTGGGATAAGTACATCACTTCCTTCCCCTTGCTCTTGTCACCCAAGGAGTACTGTCTAATGGCTTTGGCATCGACTTACTCCAGGTGGTCCTTGCTGATGGCTCAATCACCGCTTTCTTTCCCCACATCCTTTTGGGAGCCGGCGATGTTTTCCTCCCTTCCATTGCAACATCATCGTCAACCTCACCAATGTTGCCATTGGTCAACCCTGCCAAGAGGTCTCCCATTCACGATGTAGAAAGCTGATTCCTGCTGGGCTCAGCAGAAATCATACTACCTAGACAACAAATATTTAGGTAGATCTTAGCACGACCTAGTCTGCTATACTTGCAGAGCAAGTGCATTCGATCCTATGGGGGTAGCTGTTTGGTATTAGTTTCGATAGTTAGTTATCAGTAATAGGAAGATAATCTGAAGCTAAGAACTACTTGTCCGAAGGGGAACTGTCGGGTCCGAAAATATCGGAGTCGGGTTGGGCATCGGACTGTTGGGAATGCATCGGACAATAAAGGAATGTGTCGGAAGTGTGTCGGATTGTTGGTCAAATGAATGTCGGATGTGTCGGAATGTTTTGGAGGAAAAGAGCGGATAGATATTTCACAATACAATCAAGTACTACTAATATCCAATGACTTCCATCCTACTACTGAGTAGGGAAAAGTAAGTAATGCAATAGGTAGGAAGTACTAGATATTAAATAGTGACTATGTAGAAATTTGGACTGCTATAGGCGAGAGTAGTAGCGATATTTCGGGTCCGAAATCCTATGTAATAGGACATGTGGTACTGCGGACCATGAGAAAACATGTAATAACACTGTATACAATGCTTAGCAAGTCAAAAGGAGCAAATGCGCACCTAGTGGGGATAGATGCGACTGGACAGGACATAGGGAGGACTGGTCCAATGTGCGGGAATGTCGGGTCAGGATCGGACATGCATCGGACTGTCGGAAAGTGCGTCAGGTCAAGATCAGACTGTTGGACTCGGGTCGGGGTAGTCGGAAGTGGATCAGACAAATACTGTTTGACATCAGTATCAAAATAGCTGGTTCCGAGCCCAGCGCTGCAACCATTGTTACAGCGATGTCAGCAGTGCACCACATTTCGCCGACTTGACAGGGTGAGGCTTCGTAATTGATGGTGGGATTGCCATCTCTGCATGTGATGATGAAGGACCTTCTCTGGTTCTGGTTCTCTTTTTCGGTGATCTACCATCAGCCAAGTTATTATCATCATCATCCATATGGTGAGTGTCATTCCCGAAATCACTGTTGGGTTTGGAGGATGAATCCCTAGGGCTTCGGATGATTACCCTTTGCGTGTTTTTGACTTTATCCGTCCAATGGGAAGGCAACCTGCCTGATACGACCGATGCTACCATGTCGCCATCTTTGTTCTTCCATGCTTTGAACGTGAATGTTGATCCTTTGCCTTTCTCCTGCCGAGCATACCAGAAATTGAGGAGGGCCGTCATGTCCCAATTTTGCAACTTGGAAGGCTCCTTCAAGTTGACATCCGCCGGAAGATATCTTTGTGACACAAAGTCATCCTGGCATTGAAGGATGGCGCTCCATGGCACTACTGCCTTGTCAATCCCCGAACAAATCCCTATGTCGATGCATTCAACAATGTCCCGGATGTAGCAAGGATTGACTCACGATAGTGCAATGTGAGAAAAGCCCTGACTATGGCCTTCTTCTCCTCGAGTTTTGTTTTGGTGATGTCCGGAAGCAATGGCATCCCATCCTTGTCAGTGTCGAGCTCAAAGGCTGGTTTTCGTATTCTCTTGCGACCTCCCTTTATCTGTCAGCCACCTTCCCATGCTCCGGCACCTATCACAGAGACCATCAACACACCCCTCCGGGTATCAACAGTTTAAACACTCACCAAACTGTTCCTGCGCATACTCCTGCCACACCGGCTCAATGTCCTTCCAGTCCTTTGTCTTCATGAAGTTGTCCCCATCTCCTAATGCCTTGTTATCATCGTGCCTGCATGAAATATATTGGGTTGAAAGATCTGCGATGACAGGTAAAATTCACTCACATCCCAAACAGCACCTTGCCCTGTTCATTCTTCCAAGCTGACAACACAAACACTCTCATCCCGCATTGCCTCCACATCTCCTTTGAAAAGTGCTCCATATATGCAGGTCCCTTCTTACAGGCGACCTGTGCTTGTATCTCGGGAGGAGGACAGTTGTTGGACCATTCTTCGGCAGTTTCTTTTGTCTTCTCCAACTCGTCGTCGGACAATTCAGCCATGACTCTCTTCACAGCCGCCTGATAATGCTTGACCATACCAGGATCTCCTGGCTTTGCCCCAGACTCATCCTCAATCCTCTTCAGCACCTCTTCCCAATTCTTCTGGTAGATCACCATCCTAGGTGTCCATTTCCTCCCATACTTTATCATGTCCTTCCTTTCCTTCTTTTTCTTGTTGTTGAACAACCAAGTCTTGTACATCTGAGCATTGAAGGAAGTGTAAGACATTAAAATTTTTGTTTCGCATCGCAACAAGGATGTATCACCTGCTTCCTCTTTTTCCATTGTCCTTGGTCCACCTTTGGCGCAAACAACCTGGCAGCCCTGGCAATTGCAGTGAAAACTGCCCGCTTCTCACTCCTTTTTGCAGAAGTCCACTCAGGAAGGTAGTTCTTCAGCTCAGAAATTTCGGTTTCCGTGAGCTTCTGTGTCTGGGGTTGACGTGCCCTATGTCTTCCAGGAGACAAGCAAGTGGAATGACCTGATCTTGCCATGGTGACTCTGATTGGTGAATGTGCTGAGGGTGAGCAAGGCGTAACTAATATTGGTTCGAAGCTCAACTTTGACCAAAGCCTAACAGTTGGTTAATCAACCCATATCGGACATGATGCCATTAATGGAAATAAATTTGTAATGAACAACCAATACTGCACAAACATAGCATTGGAATAACAATTCTTGCGACCTTCCTGAGCTAATGCTGTTCTTGCAACATTTGAAAATAAGATGAAGATAGGTCTATGCACCCCGCTGCAAAGATCACACAGGGTAGAAGCAAGGGGCAGAAAAGGTAGGAAAACTTGGGTCAAGGTCCCGCTTGCAAGCGCAAAACGACATGCCTACAGGTCCATGCCTAACTCTCCCCCGGAATCACCAACACTTCAGCCTGTTCCAGCACCGCCTACTTGGGAAGACTGTCCTGATAATACTTATGAGCAAGACCAAGGCTCATTCGAGCCTTTGCAGCTCCAAAAACAATGGCAAGTGAATGTAAACCGTTGGAGTGTCGTTCAAACATTGCTAAGTATAACACATGCAGAGCCAGAATGACTACCTGAGGCAATGGCTCCCAAGGCAGGAATCATATCTGCATCACCTCCTGGATCAAGAAGCTCCTCCAGAAGATAGGAGATGCATCATCTGCGATCAGGATGGGGTCTACAAATGTCAAGATTGTCTTGGGGAGCCACTCTATTGCACGGGATGTTGCAGGAGTCAACATCGTCGCAATCCTTTCCACTGGATCAGTCAATGGAATAGTCAGTTCTTCGAGCAAAGTTGTCTCGCTCATGTTGGACTTGTCATACATCTCGGTCATGATGGCAAAGAATGTTCTGCACTCGCAAATAGGTGGGATTTGTTCAAAGGAGATGAACACAAGGACCAGCTTGAGCCTGAAGATCTACCATCCATGTCAGGACCAGAGTTCCAGCCTAAGGAAAACACCATGGTCATCGTCGACAAACCAAAGACTGTGTTCACCTTCAGAGTGCTCGACAATTTTCTATTGGACAACCTAGAATGTGGCACCTCTGCAGTGAACTATTACAGCAAGCTCCGGCGAATGACCTCCAGCATGTTTCCTCACCTTGTTCTGGTAATTATATATCTCCTTTATCTAAAGGACATTATATTGACAAGGCACTTGGCAAGGACTGATACAGAGAGCTCATGAGAGTCGCTTGACAGTGGAGGCAGTTGAAGACCATGAAATGGCATGGCTTCGGTCATCATTCCAATGCCCCGAATGCCGGAGATCTCACATTGTTTTGCCCGACATGTCCTCAGCCTGAGATCAACATATCCTTGTCAGGGAATGAAACACTTGATGAGTGAGTCTAGTTTCATACTTGAGCGACCTAAGTGATGATAAGAACTCCAAGCTGGAGATATACCCGGTCATTTGTGATGGACGGTAATTTCAAAGCCAAACACTTGCATCCCATCAAGCCATTTGATGAAGTATGGCTTGCTGATGGGCTGGGGTTCATGGTGGGAAAGGACAGGTATAAGTGCATCTTGCAGAGGCTGCTGACACTTTGGAAAAATCTAGCTGCAACAATCACCGGGCGGTAAATCAAGCAAATGCGGCTCGGCACAAGCTGGAGTCGACGGGTATCGGGGGAGTTGCTTGTGCCCGCCATGGCTGCTTTGTGCCTCATGCGATGGTTGATTTCCAGAAAGGCGAAAGGCAAGCCGAACATGAAGTTCTACATTCACTAGTTGATCATGCATCATTTGCAGACAAATGAACATGGATTACGCCCTTTGCAAGGCTGCCCAGCACAACATGGAAGGCATTACCAGGGCTGTCACCTTTTATGACATCAACTGTCAATACAACAAGCACCTTCGGGTTTGGGTGGATCGAAGCTGATTTCTTGAAATGGTACTGGAATTGACCATCATTCCTGGCATCGGTTTGTGGCACGTGCATGGACATCAAGACAGCTGCTATGTCTGATATCCGTCGAATTTCATTGAAGGCATTGGCTGGATAGATGGAGAGATCATGGAGACTCTCTGGGCACATCTGAACCTAATTTCCCCCGCTGCTCGGGGAATGTCATCCCCTCATCAACAGGAATGTCTCAATTTTCAGATGAATGATTCCAACTTCTGCAAGATGATCCGCATGAAAAGGACCCTTTGCCGTAAATACAAGCAGGTGAAAAATTGCATCGCTGAAAGTGAAAAGGCTTTTGACAGACTCGATGAAGCAGCACCCGCCAATTTGAAGACAGAATGGTTGGCCAATGAGATGATCGCTCAATCCAGCCAAATAAATGATCCTGCGGCGATGGATGTTTATGAGATAAATATCAAGAAGGGTAAGCTGACCATGTCTCCATAGAAGTCCAAATTAATTTCGCACTCAGCACCAAGCAAAAAGGAGATCGAACTTAGACTGCTAGAGCAGGGTAATGCCTGTAATGCAGCACCATCTAGGAGATCTGTGGTGACATGGATATCTATGGGGTTGGCAATCGAGGAGGCTCAAATTGCATTGCTCGTCGAGGTCCGAAGAATTGGAAAACGAACTACGGAGACACAGAGATTAGACCTCGCCCAGCAACAAGATCGTCTCCAAGGCCAGATAGATGGATTCACGTGTTCTGCTGTCACGCATCTCAGAGAGGGATTCGATGGAGATGACGATCATGACGACTTGAACGTTGACATCCTAGATGATCTCGATGATGACCCGGAAGATTGAACCGAGACATCTGATACATGGACAAACTCGCCTGAGCTCATTGCGATCCCATTGCCATCAAACCTCGGGGTAGATCGATGCAGACACTTGATGGCAGAGGATCTCATTCCGCTGGAGATGTCCCTTTGCGAAGGGCAGGCAAATGATGCACTTCACAACCTCCGCATTCACTTGTGCAACAAGGCAGTCCTATTCCGAATGATGGTCAGGCAAGCCAAATCTCAAGCCCTGAAAACTCGAGCCTGGTCACAGGTGACGTCAGTGCAGCAGGCTGTCTCCCTGCATGTGAGTATATATACCAAGACCAGGACACAAATGATGAAACTTGACACGGGGCATGGCCAACTTCAGAAGTACAAACCTCTGCTTTGCGAGCAGCTCAAAGTCAGCACTGCCGTGGGTGATCCGAATGCCCATGGTCAATGAAATGAATCCCTCGCGTGGTTCTGGTCTGTCGAGGTCGACATGCATGGTCTGGATCAATCATGGAATGAGGAATGTGAGTTCCCTAATGCTTGACATGTCTGACGTTGAGCTGACCGGACAAATATGAAGTTTACCAAGTTCACTGGCTCCGGGCAAAGGCACTACGGGATCGATGGAAGGAAGAGCTGATGTTGGTCCAATTCGAGATGGATTGGACATGTAACTTTTTCTTGTGGAAAGCAGCCCAATGGGGCGACCGGATGCAGGAATCATTCACGAAACGACTTCTGGGTCATGCATGCTACTCTGGAAGGCAATCCCGAATGTATTCATTGCTGGTGCAGGACGCCCAGGCAGTGTTTCAACACCTGCAGACCATTTTGATAGATTCCCGAGATGAATGAATGGTTTATTGCCGATGGAATATAACAACCATTTTGATATACAAATTTAGTCCCGGGAATTGGCCAGGTCAGCCCATGTTGGAGTTTGAAAAATTTATCCATCCATCAGTAGATGATATCTTCACATCTGAACCAACTGTCATTGTCATTGCCAGTGTGATACTCCTGCATCAGCCATGCCTGAATTATATCCTTCTCCTGCATCCACTTCTGACAATGAGAATTCCCTCAATGAGTACCAGCCCCTCACTCTCACTCCTGCAGACATTTCAGCTACTATGTCGATGTCTGCATCGTGCATCCGCGCATCCATCTCCCAATATCAGGCGGAGGCTCCAAACAACAATCTTCCCCCTTTGGCTCGGATCAGGCACTTCAAAGCCAGGCTGCAATGGGAGATCACTGTAAGACCCCGACGACACTGGCGGTTAATGCTGACATCTTCCACAGACTTTTGTCACTCCCATCCTCCAGTACTCAGCTGCCAGGAACATCATTTCGGTCGTTCCCAGCCTATTGCTCATATTCTTCATTTGATTCCCGGTCACACCTGGAACACGGTTCCAGATCACATCTTTTCGTATCACCTCTGTGTGTTTCATGATGTCGCAGATCCTGGAGATCCATCCCGGATCGTATCTGGCTATGATACCCCATGGTGGATGGGAGAAACTGCAATCCCGAACGAACCATGGCAATGGGATCGGGTGATGACTTGCTGTATATTTCACTGCAAGCATTTGCTAGTAAGATTCTTATTCCATTTCCTTGATTCATGACTGATCTGCTCTAGGATGGTGTTGAGAATGATGGTCTGACAATTCCGGAGCAGGTGGATCATACCTCAGTTCCATCACTGATGGGACTGAGGTGGATTAGAGAATGCCTCCTGACATTACTTGAAGAGCAACGTGAGGGCATCTGTGACAAGATGGCAGAGATACAAATCTACACTGCCATGCTGGACAGATTGAAGAGGCAGAGGAGAGTAGCTCTAGTCACTCAGTTGGGAATGTTGAAGTGCAAGTTGCATATGTGTTTTATGAGTACTGAAAATCGCTTGTAAACATTGCAATATCTAACATGATGTTTAATGGCAAGTCCCGAAATAAGCGGTGCAGATGTGCATCACCATGTCCTGACCACCGAGGTCCAGATATCGAGTCCCAATTACCGGGACCCCATTACCGAACACCGAATATTGAGTTTCGAGTTCTGAATGTTGGGTACCGAGCGTCGAGTACCGAATGCTGACTGCTGAATATCGCTGTAGAAATCTGGTTCCTGCTGGGCTCAGCAGAAATTGTACTACCTAGACAACAAATATTTAGGTAGATCTTAGCACGACCTATGCTGCTATACTTGCAGAGCAAGTGCGTTCGATCCTATAGGGGTAGCTGTTTGGTATTAGTTTAGATAGTTAGTTATCAATAATAGGAAGATAATCCGAAGCTAAGAACTACTTGTCCGAAGGGAAACTGTCAGGTCTGAAATATTGGAGTCGGGTCGGGCGTCGGACTATGCGTCGGACTGTCGGGAATGTGTTGGACGATAAAGGAATGTGTCGGAAGTGTGTCGGATTGTTGGCCAAATGAATGTCGGATGTGTCGGAATGTTTTGGAGGAAAAGAGCGGATAGATATTTCACAATACAATCAAGTACTACTAATATCCAATGACTTCCATCCTACTACTGAGTAGGGAAAAGTAAGTAATGCAATAGGTAGGAAGTACTAGATATTAAATAGTGACTATGTAGAAATTTGGACTGCTATAGGCGAGAGTAGTAGCGATATTTCGGGTCCGAAATCCTATGTAATAGGACATGTGGTACTGCGGACCATGAGAAAACATGTAATAATACTGTATACAATGCTTAGCAAGTCAAAAAGAGTAAATACGCACCAGTGGGAGTAGATATGACTGGACAGGACATAGGGAGGACGAGTCCGATGCGAAAACGTCAGGTCTGAAACTTTCGGGTCGGGGTCGGGCGTCGGGATCGGGATCGGAATGTCGGGGATGCATTGGACAAATACTGTTTAACATGAGTATCAAGAACACGGGTTTTGAGCCCAGCACTGCGACTGTCGTTACATCGCACTCCGAGTTCTGGATCTCCATTACCAATTCCCGACTTCCAGAATTTAACTACCGAGGTCCGAATATCGAGACCCGAGTGCCGAGTTCCGAATATCGATTACCAAGTGCCGGATATCGAGTCCCAATTACCGAGTTCTGAAATGTCAGGTACCGAGTGTCGAGTACCAAATATCGAACTCCGAGTTCCGGATTCTCCATTACTGATTCCCGACTCCCAGAACATAACTACTGAGGTCCGAGTATTGACACCCGAGTGCTGAGACCCGATTGCTGAGCTCCGAATATCAGGTTCCGAGCTCTGAATATCGAACTCCGAGTTCCGGATTCTCCATTACTGATTCCCGACTCCCGAAAGTTACCTACCAAGGTCCGAACATTGAGACCTGAGTGCCAAGACCCAATTACCGAACGCTGAATATTGGGTTCCAAGCTCCGAATATCAAACTCCGAGTTCCGGATTTTCCATTACCGATTCCCGACTCCCGAAAGTTACCTACCGAGGTCCGAATATCGAGACCCGAGTGCCGAGACCCGATTACCGAACACCAAATATCGAGTGTCGAGTTCCGAATATTGAACTCTGAGTTCCAGATATTGAGTCCCGATGACCGAGTTCTGAAATGTCGGGTACCAAGCATCGAGTACCGAATGTTTACTGCCGAATATTGAACTCTGAGTTCCGGGTTCTCCATTACCAATTCCCGACTCCTGGAACATAACTACCAAGGTCCGAGTATTGACACCCAAGTGCCAAGACCCGATTACTGAGCTCCAAATATTGAGTTCCGAGGTCCCAGCGTTGAGTGCCAAATATTGACTGCCGAATATTGAACTTCGAGTTCCGGATCTCCATTACCGATTCCTGACTCCCGGCATTTAACTACCGAGGTCCAAATATCAAGACCCGAGTGCCGAGACCCGGTTACCGAGCTCCTGGCCTTGATGACTGTCGATAGGATCTGAGTCTAAATACAATGATAGCCATCGCCCCAGTACCATTTTCAAATTTGTACAGCAGCATTCATACTTACATTTCTTTGCTTCTCTGTGCCCTTTTGACTTGTAGGTTCCTTTTGCAACAGACCATTCTTCTTAGCATTGCCCAATGTAATGTCGATGATATCGTCTGCGCTACTCCAACCCAGGGCCGGCCTTTTCTAACTGCGCACCACAACTGAAACCCCACTCCCTTGCGCTGAATGTGTTGGTGCTCGAGTGTCATCAAGACACACAGAAGGCTCTGGACAGTTATTGTATGCATCCACTGTCCTGCATGATGTGGGAATCATGCATGGACATGAATACTAGGTGACCCTCAAAAGATAAAGTCTGTTAGCTTAGTCCTCAGACTAGTCAACCCATACCTTGGTTTCAAACCATGGTCCATATTTCCAGTTTTCCCCAAGTTTCATGATCTGAATATGTTTTGACAGAAAAAGTCTAATGTGAGATGGGAATCACATTTAGACCTAGTTGATGTGAGAAGGGAAATGAAGGTTAAGGTATAGCCTTGCCTTTGGCTTATTCACTTTGGCTAGAGAAAACCATAGAGAAAAGTACAAAGCCTATAAAAAACCTATCCAAAAAGACCGTGTTTCAATTCCTGCCAACTGTCTTATTTTTGCTACCTACTTTTCTCTAGTGTTTCTTTACTTTACTTTTTCATTAGGATGCTTTGACTCACCTGACACTTCAAAAAATTGTACCCATAGGGTATGATGTCATTATGATGTCATAAGACTCCACAGATACTCCTGCAGGTATTGTGTTGAAAGATATTATGTCATCAAGCTCTAGATTATTCTACTCCACAATGACATCATCCATGATGTCATTTCCTTCTAGAATATTCTGCTCCACAATGACTCACTCTGACTCACTCATGGAAGGTTCTGGGATCTTTTGCTCCACAATGATGTCACTCTTGATGTCATTACTCCACATTCCAGAATGTTCTGCTCCACAATGATGTCATAGCTCCATCTTTCACTTGTATTTTATTCTTTTATTGGGTTTGACCCAATATTTTGATTGGTCCTCCTTATTTTTTATTGTTTGTGAACCTAGGTTACTTTCCCACACAAAATGTATATAAGGAGAGCCCATTCTCCCCCCAAAAAAATATGATCTCCCATTTGTAGCAATCTGCCTATCAGATATTTCACTTGCAAAGTTAGTCCCTTTGAAGTGAGACAAGTGCAGGGAAAAGAATTCCCTTGAGATTATAAGTTTCTTACCTTAGAAACTTATTTAGTGCTATAGACCAAGCATTCTTGGTCACATATATTGTCTTTGAGACCCCTTTGTCTCATTGCTCTGTGCCCTTTGACTAAGTGATCTTAGTCATCTATCATATTGTTGAGACCACGTCTCACTAGTTGTCCCATAGACCAAGCGATCTTGGTCAAGTTATAGTCCCCTTTGTTCAAGCGATCTTGAACATATATTGTATATTTGAGACCATTTGTCTCACAGTCAAGTGTCCATAGACCAAGCGATCTTGGTCATATTTCGTATATTTGGGACCATGTCTTACTAGTTCCAGTATCTGTTATGACTTGGATGGTATCTGTTGGCGACGCTCAAACAGAGCGTGTGTCGTCAACGGTCGAGGACATCCTTGGGCTAGCCCAAGGTTAGGGGTTGTACTTGGCGGGTCTTCGGCAAGTACGATTTGACGCCTATGTCCAAATCGGGTAGCTTATGTCACGCAGATGCGAGACGATAAGCTATATCGGCCTAGGCTTACGACACCTGAAGGTTAATTGTAAGGATCGTCGTTAATTAGAAGGACAGAAGTCCGACTAGTTAACAGGGGCTTTGCTCATCGACGAAGTCGATGAGTAAAGGTCGAGACTATAGGCTTATCCGCGAGGAGCAGATAAGAAGATAGAATATAGACTGCTGGCGAGGCAGAAGGATCACTCTGGTGAGAGTAGGAGGTCAAGAACCAAGTAGATTCAAGTTAAGGAATATGTTACATGGTAGCGAGTTTATATAGAGGACAGGAAGCGTATTAGTGGATGATAACTTGTACTACCAAGAGAAGTAAACAGGAAAGGGTATGACCATAAAAGGAAGGCACGTTCGAGGTGAGACATGGGCGAGCTCTGAACGTGCAGATAAGAGAGTGAGTCAAAGATCAAGATAAGAAGTGAAACACGCAGGGCACGATCGTGCAGCTGCGGATCTAAGTATAAGTCGCATGTGCGACTGCGCACCGAGTCAGAGATCAAGAAAGGTGATCAAGGCAAAGGGGATGCATCATGCATCATATCATAGGTTACCGTCCAGACAGTAAGGGCAAGGGGACTGTCCACAGGATCAGTCAGGTGGTGAAACGGAGCATGGGTATGCTTCGTCAGCGAAAGGGTCCGGCCAGATGTACTGGCTCTGCTGAAGCGACAGGTAGAGAGCGAAGGGGAATGCAAGGATGACAAGGATGACAAGGGTAAGGTCGGGGTAAGGGTATGACGCGAGGGCTGATACTAGGAGGATGAGGAGAAAAATAGTAGGGGCCCAAGCGTCTAGATGTTCTTGTAACAGTATCCAAGTCCAGAGCCTAGAAGGAGGATTCCTAGGCAAATACATTCCAGAAACCAAATTATGTGTCTAGAAGCTTATTCCTAGGCAAGAGGTTTGAGTTTCAATAAAGAAAAGTAAAGCTCCAGCTAGGTTGATCTTGACAAAGATTAGTTTAGTGAGCCTCCCAAGAACTCACACGTTATCTACCACGAAATAGGAAAAGTCGTAGACCATGTTAATCAAGGACTGGCAAGCAGTCTTATCCAAAGTGTAATTGTGGTGTCATTACATTTACACGACTTTATATAAGACCCTCGGTTATTAAGACACCACTATGGACTTCGGACCTCGAGTGTCATCAAGAGACACAGAAGGCTCTGGACAGTTATTGTATGCATCTGCTATGGATTTCAGACCTCGAGTGTCATCGAGAGAGACAGTTCGTACTTGGTAGTCGAAAGCAGGTACTGATGCGGGTAGTTACACTTTCTACTTGTTTCATCTTCCACATGGTGGTAGGGTTCGTCAATCCACCCTAGCCCATCCGCATGAGGGAACTCCGGCATAAATATGAACAGAGTCCCTCATATACCATGCCCACCCAACCCTATCCCCCTCCACCTCATGAACCCCATGTCTGACAATCCTTCCGGAAAATCCAATCATACACCCGGAATCGTACCCAAACTCCAGCTGAAGGCTTGGCATGCTCATCCGAGCATTAGAATAATTCCCCACAGTGGTGAGAATATCAAAGCATTCAGGAATTGATAAATGGTCTTGATGATGTGGGGTTTGATGATTGGAAATGATGGATAGCGTGTGAAACATGGATGCCCAGTACTCCAGGATCTCGGACATTCTTGGCAGTTCCTTGCTTTCTGCCTTTTCTCCGAGGCTTGCAAATGTTCGTAACCCTGCCCAGTACTGCTCCGGATGCATGATCCTGAGCGCCGCTGATGCGATGGCTGCTGGCCTTGCAATGGCATTTAGGATTCCCTCGGACAATGGTCCCTTTAATGATGCAGATACCTCCGGGTCCACTAGATTCTATGGGATTGGTGAGCTCAACTACCGAAATCATCATCCTATCAAATCCTACCTCATGCCCCTGTTGAAACCATGCTGGAGATAAATTAATGCACCCAGCAGCTAGGCCAACATCTTCCAATCGGCATTTGAACCACTCCGGATTGGTTTGCCAATTCCCATCGACCTTCACACTTCTTTCCAGACTTGGAGACAGCAACTCAGTGGCTGCCCAAATTTCCTTCTGTGGTTACCATTTGGTATTTAATATATATTGAGTAACAATCTATATCACACACCTGTGTTTTGGCTGTCAGGGCGTCTGGGAGGTACCATGCGATGATGGTGCTGGACACATCTAGAATGGTGGCGGGTATGTCCACAAACCTTGTCCCCTCATGGCCGGGAGGACATCTCTTAAGCAACTTCTCCTCTTTCTCCTCATTGTGCCCGGTGTTCTTCGGGGAGATCAATTTGCTATATCTTCCAATGTCGATGTTCATCTGAACTGCGATGAAGGAATTTGAATGATCAAATGAATTTTCCGAATCTGCAGGAAGACCCACTTGGATTTTTATATGCCTTTGTGAGGCGATCTACCAATCGATCGCAGGCCATCACTAGATCAGTGTCTAGGTTAGGAGAAGGTATTACCGGGTCTCCTCCTGTCTTCTCTGCATTGAATTTCTGTGCAGTATATTCACATGCCTCGTGAGTGACTGTCAGGGCCCAAGTGTGCCAGAGGCTTATTTCAATTGCAGAAGTGGAAGAACTATTCATGATGAAGTCGATCTTGGGAAATCAGAAGCTGAATGCTGGACACCCAGAGGTTGGTGTTAAAGGGGGTGGAGATAGTCAGGATCAGATAACGGAGCCGAAATACCAGATCATTGGAAGTGTGCTGGATATCAGATATTCGTTTGTCAACTCCTGGGGCTCGGATCTCAGCATGCTTCACTCAAATTTCGGTAGTTGGAACTTGGCATTTGGTGTTTGGTAGGTGGTGAACATGAGGTCCTGATAAGAGAACCTTCCATGATGTTGGCTGTCGAAGATATATTACCATCCGTTGCTCAATAAAATACCCGATCATTGGAAGTGTGCTGGATATCAGATATTTGTTTATTGACACCCGGGTCTCGGAACTCGGTACGCTTCACTCG